GATTAGTTCAAAATTTTCTAAAGTTTTCTATCTAAGGAAAACCAGTTGATTGCATCAAGTCATTGACTCTTCAGCAATCCCTCACAACAAGCATGTTTGATTTATGGGGTTTTCTTTGTATGTAATTGAATTTGATGACAAATGTTCAACTCTTATTTACTTGAATAAAGTTTTTTTTTTTTTGTTTTCCCTGGACATTTAATTAACTTTAATTCACTGTTATTATATTTTAGTAGATTTTTTATTAGGTCCCCAGTAGCTCGATATTAAATTGTTATTATTTCCCTTTATTTAAGTCTATATTATTTAGGTCTATTTTGTATTTAATTATAAAATTTGTATTCATAGTGTGTTTTTTTAGTCCCTCACTTTAGCGTTTGAAAAGAATGAAACAAAATAAATGTATTTTTCAGACCATTGCAATTTCCTTGATATCAAATCAGGTTTTTTAGCTAATTTTAACGTATTCGAATTGATGCTAAAACACTTTTAACTTTCTCAAATATATTATATGTTCTAAAAAGCTGATTTAATTGTGTAAAATAAAAATTCTTTTAATCTTACGTATCTTTATTTGTCGTGCTTTTCTTCATTTTGTTTTTAATTTATGTATTTATTGTTTGTTTTTGTTTTTTTATAATCTGCGGAAGTACGTCACGCGCGCGTCAGCGGTCGAAGTTAAATCTTGACGTAGGCGGGCTCGTGGTGCTGGACTATTCGCGGGAAACGTCCAAAAACAAACGTGTGTGAAGCCGCGCGGCTGGTTCTGGTTGATTCGGACGCAGCTCCCGGTGACGGAAGCGGCTACCGCGCGCGCGCGCCGGTACTTAAAGGCTTCGCGGGACAAGAGGAGGCAGGAGACACGAGCGGAAGACATGGCGGAGCGGCCAGAGGACCTGAACCTTCCCAACGCGGTGATCACCCGCATCATCAAGGAGGCGGTGAGTGGGAGAGGAGCACATGGAGGGAGGGGGGTGAGAAACGGCCTTGCCCTCCACCCCACCCGGCCTGAGGGGCTGATTTCCCCACTTTGCCCTGGAAAACAAGCCGCCTGGGGTCAGATTTAGCAGTTCTCCTTTAGGACTTCAGGTGTCTGACAGAGGTCAGGTGGTCTGAAAGAAGGATGAGCCTCTCAGTCACAAACAGACAGTGAACCTAAAGGGGAGGTCGTGGTTCATCTATTGACCTCAATGGAAATCCAGTCAAAAAGAACTCCAAGCCTGCTCCGTATGCATTGGCAGATCTAGAGGGGGGCAATAGGGGCCAGTGTCCCTGTAAAGTTGTCTCCTGTTATGGTCCCTCTATAGAACACATAATGTCTGGTGTTGATAGGTACTAGCAAGGAACTATAACCGATAGGATCCTTTAAAACAATGATCCCCGCCCCGGCCTGTTACTGGTTCTTTTGGTACCGGGGCCACGCAGAAAGAATAGACAGGTTCCAATGTTTCCGACTGATTTATTTTACAAGACTAAATGGTGTTTTATTTTCAAAAATGACCAAATTCATTCCATTACATCCGTCCATGACTCACTGGTGACGTATGTCAGCCCTGACATCACACGAGTCACGT